TGCATAACAATACTAGCGATCACCTAACCGATGACTGGTTCACAAGTTGATATTGACGACTTTATTCAAATCGTTACCTTCTTTTAAGTGCAATACTGAGAGATAAGTTTATACACGTACGCTAATACATGTACCGTACCAACGATCATCTAACTGATGAATGACGCACACGTTGGTTCTGTTCCAAAAATCTTGCATACTCTAATGTCACCCCTTAAACACGACCTATGACATAAGCAATGGAATCGCCATGACCCATGGCATTAATCACATACAGCATGAATGATCTCCTCTATCACTTCATTCAAATATTTCACATATTTTACGCCTAACACTCACAGATGAGCACAAACATAGACGGTAATATCATAATGACCACTACTGCAGATAGCCTAACCGCTGAATGGTCCACAAGTTGACGTTGAAATTGGTTCTGTTCAAATAAAATGCGATTTCTTACTTCACAACTTCAACATAGATGAGGCATCACGATGTCATTGATCACATATAGAATGAATATTCCCCTTCATGCCTTTATTCTCATATTTTATGTCTTCGAAGTTCAATACTGGAAGGTAAGTTGATACATCGACGGTAATATCGCGCCGAATTTTGTTTCGGCTTACGTTACTACTGAATGATGCACAGCATAGTTCTGTTCAAATACTTCACACATTTTAAGACTAACACTAAGACATGACCGCATACATATAGGGTAACATCATGATGAGCCGTGTTGATGATCACCTAACGAATGAACTATCCTGAAATTGACGTTGATGGCTTTGTTCAAGTATTTCAGATATTTTCATGTAACGCTGAGATTTGGGGTCCTGTATATAGGCTAACATCATGATCGCGACTACTGTCAGTCACATAACCGACGAATGATGTACAAGTTGATTCTATTCAAATATCTTGCACCTTCTTACGCTGGAACTTGAACATAGATGTGGAGCTGTTCGTACTGAGCAGTTGTCATTCATGACATATAGAATGAATGGTCTGCTTCAGATTGGTTTTATTCATATATCATGTATCGTCTTAGATCTGAAGTTGAATAATAGGTGCGGAGATAGCCACTAAGATCATCATAACTACTGTCATTGATCATATATAGAATGAATGATCTGGTTCAAATTGAGCATGTTTCTATCCAGATATTTCATGTATTTTACGCTTTCAACTTTTAGATGTGGTCCTACATAGGCTGTAATATCATAAGAACACTAACGACGAGCACCTAACTGATGACTGATCCACAAATTTACGTCCATGACTTAATTCAAATATTGCATGCCTTTTAAGTTCAATACTGACAGATGAGTTTATACATATGCGATAATATCCTTATGAACACTACTGATGATCACTTTACCGATGAATGATGCGCAAGTTGGTTCTGTTCAAATATGTCCCATCTTCTTACATCGCAAGTTGAACCTACATGAGGAGATAGTCACTACGGTGATCATGAGCAATGTCACTGGTCACATGTAGAATGAATGATCTCCTTGAAGTTGGTTCTATTCAAATATCTTAGATGTTCTTACACCGGAACTTGAACATAGTTGAGGAGATCGTCACTAAGATCTTGGTGAACTATGTCATTGATCACATATCGAATGAATAGTCTCATTGATGGCTTTGTTCAAGTATTTCACATATTTTAATGTAACACTCAGATTTGGGCTAATACATATACGATAATATCATGATAAACACTACTGACAATTACGTAACCGATGAACAATCTACACGTTGATGGCTTTATTCAAATATTTCAGATCTGTTTAGTTCAATACTGGAAGATGAGCTGTTGCATAGCGGGTAATATCGCAGGCATTAACGTTCGTGATGACCCCACTACTGAATGGTCCTCATCACGTTGCTTCTATTCAACTAACGTGCAACATCTTACATACCAACTTGAACATACGTCAGGAGATAGTCACTAAGATGATCATGAGCAATGTCATTGATCACATATACAATGAATCTTCACCTTCACGTTCAGCACATTGATGGCTTTATTCAAATATTTCAGATCTATTTAGTTCAATACTGGAAGGTGACTTTGCACATAGAGGTTAATATAAGGATGAGCGGTGCTAAGGGTCATCTTACTGATGAATGATCGGCAAGTTGGTTCTATTCACGTATCTTGGATGTTCTTACATCAGAGATTGAATATAGATGAGGAGACAGTTAGTAAGTTCATCATGAACAATGTGACTGATCATGTGTAGAATGAATGGTCTACTTTATGGCGTTGTATGGATCGTGTTGCTGTTGTATGCTTTGCATCAAAACTAGACTGACGTTTTTTCGGAGCTGAAAAAGATAACTTATTTAGAAGAAAGTTGAAAACTTGAGATTTTAAGTACAGGAAGCGATTATTAGAAGTCGAGAAAGTCTAAGTTTTTCGTTACTTAAAGGTTCCTGCACTTTTCCACTTAGCTAATTGAGGTTAAGCGATTTGGATGGCTATTAGAGTAACTGTGGTGTATTTTTTAGTCAGGGTAATTTTATATGGTTAAGTGCAGAAGGAAAGTTGTGTGCCTCATATAGTTGAGGTTTATCTTGTACGTTCTTTCTTAATATTCATCGACGACGAAGCGAATGATTAGCGTCATATATTATTCATGTATAATTCTGTTGAAGTTGTAGTAGTTTGGCTAGAAGAATAATTAGTTCTTGTTAAGATTCATTTAGCTCGTATGCCAGCCGGATCATTATCAATTTAAATTGGTGTAATTTTGCAGTATGACCAACTTGTTGGACAAGATCGTTTAATTGTCGTTTTAACTGTCAATCTCTTTTTCATTTAATTTTGCCTATCAATTATGGCTATGTTATAGAATTTGGTTAATGACGTGTTTTTGTTTCAACAAATTGATCAATATAGCGGTAAGCATCGCTTCACTAGTGATTTAGTTGGTAGTAATAGGTTTTTAAGTATTTTGTTTGATATTAAAATGTTTGTTTAATTTGGCTAATGCATTTTAACTTTTTATCAGTTCTTGTAAACACGTGATCCACACACATATCAGCTCTGATGACGTTAGCAAGGGGTTATTGTAAACAGACCAGTGCTTGCCGACTCTTTCCATGATCAAAGCCTATATTAAACCCTTATTAATAAGCGTAAAAACATGACAAAAATGACGGTTCGCAGCTGTAAACTCTAACTTTTTTTTGCATAAACATGCAAAGTGGATCTGAAAGTCAATTTTATCAATTACCTTTCATTTCTTAGTTGCTGAAAAGAATAAAACGTCATAGTACAGCTGCTTGCAGTGATTTTTTTCTATTTCTCTTAGCAATAAAAATAATTTGCGACGCTCTTAGTAATAGTAATTGTAAGCAGTGGAAAAACCAGCTTTTTTTAACGTTCTTAAGGCAACTAGTCCAGAGGTGGACAAGTCCTAGTCCGGAGTGAGAATGAGTCCGGACTGATAAGCTTTTGTGACTGCACTGTGACTGGACTGAGAACTGATTATTTTCGCAAGCGTGACTTATTTTGTCGTCCTTCAACTTTTGGGCTTTAGTGTAGAGAAAAGTCTTTGAGATAGGCGTTTAAAGAAACAGTGTCATTTTGGTAAAAAGATGCACGATAAAACATGTAATCATGGGAGCGAATGGGAAAAAGTTTTGGCTCGAACTGATGTTCATAGGACTGAGACTTGACTCAGACTGAAAGCAGAGGACTTGCCCATCCTGGACCAGTCGTATTTTAGTACTCGTGAAATGGAAAATTTATTTTTACCGTCCTTTTTGAGCCTTTTATAAAGCAAAAATGTCACTTAATGATAAAATGAACGGCTAAACCTAGAAAAGTTTTACAAAAAACTTTCGTAATAAAAAATAATATAAATTATATGTAAGTTTAGATGTTTTGTACTCACTGTTTGATCGTCTAGGTAAATCATGTCTTGAAGACGGCTCATGCATAAAAATACTTCTATGCTGATTTCTTCTTGCTAAAATAAATTTAAAAATGATTGATCAATAAAATAAAATATACGTGTAACACACATTGGGATGTATTTCGATTTATTTGTAATCGTTCACACAAATTATATAAATAATTCATCACAATACACTATGGAAACCCTCGCGTCAAAGCATAAATGAATAGGATTCTCGTGTAGAAAGTAGAATTTTTGTTTTCGTTTTTCTTGGTTTAGCTGGAATGGAAGCCCAAGGCTGTTCTACTTTTCTCGTAGTAAAATTCCGTTGAAAAAGTAAACTATTTTTTTTCGTAATATTCACGCATTGCGGTCTGTTCAAAGAAATGATAGATTTAACATGAAGAAATTTTTTCTTATCTTTTTTACTTTGATTATTTGTTGTTGTTTTTTGTTGTTTTGAAAAATAACTTTCCAATGCAGCACTGGTAGGGTTCCGTTGTCGAATAGCAGCTCCATCGAATGGTGGTTGTAGGAGAAGAAAAGGTGGTTGTTTTTCTTTTAAATGGATGATATGAGGACCATCAGCGGGTGAAACTACACTTGCCACGTGGAAATATGAACCTGGAAGTAGTAAAATTTCATCTACTGTTTTAAAATACGAATGTGCTCGGATCGATTTTCCATTTGATGTTTCGATTGAGAATAGTGTTCTTACACCTGATTTGCCTAAATATTGAGGTAATTCCAAAATTTTTAGTGTTGATGTACAAGAACTTAACGACCACCACACTTTCTTATCACCATGTGAGTAATCACCTGAAACGATAAAATCACAAGTAAAAGATGGTGAAAATTTTGATTACACGGGCACACATACTGCTTATATCAGCATTCACGCCTCTCCAAACTGTCCGATGTGATTCAGATGGTAGTTTATATAAAGCAGTAAACAGTAACTTCAAATAGCGAAACCACGGTATGAGATTTCCACGATCAGCTTGTCTCAATGCACAATTTAAAATAGAATAAAGACTTTCTTTTGACACGCTCCATTCCATTGTGTACAAATAAATCGCTGCTGACTCATCTTGAGTCAGACCATCACTAGGCTCTTTACAGTTTTGTTTTGCAACCCATATCTGTTGCGGTAAATCTTTCAGAATTGTATTAAGAGGCTCACAAGCTTCCTCTAACGGGAGAAGAGGCTCTTTTTCATAGCCAATAATTGGAGTTAACATTTGTTTTGGTTCTTCTTGAAGGTTTGCCACAAAACGTGAATTAAGTAGTTTAACATTGAAAGCCATTTTCTCTCAAAAACAAAAATATTCAAGGTTATATCTGAATCCGTTATTCTAAAACATATAACGTTTGAAAACTTTAGTTTCTGAATCTTTTTGAAATGAATGCTTTTCACAGTAGTAAAAGTCAGCAGTGTTTCTTCTTGTTCTTGCTATATGAATGTGTTTTTCTTTTGTCATAGGTACAAAGGTGCGACGTGACTGATATTGACCGAAAAGGAAAAATGTCGAATTTAACCATTTGGCTGTTTCCTTTGTTGAACAAGAATTCAAACTTGATTGATAGTAGCAAGATAGTCGAGTGGGTACTGCTGACATCCGGGCACTTTGACAGACTTGCAACAAAGCGAATGAGCAATGAACAGTTATTTACAACAAAACAAAGAACGAAACTAAGAGAGTGACTAAATTAGAAGATTATGACAAATGCTACTTTGTGCACACATATGAAAAACTGTTGTCACATCTGTAATCTTTCATAGATATTTACATATTTATTTAGCGAAGGTTAGACGTAGCCATGATTACTACAATAAGTAACAAAATAGTTGCTTTTGACGACACATTGTTACATAGAAGAAAAAAATCCAAAAGAAAGATAAGCGCATATAGAAGTAATAAATATAGAGGTTCTTAACGATTTACCAAAAGTATTTCAATCTTTTCAACACATTATGCGTGAAGTTAACCGCTCCACCGTACTTAGCGGTTTTAAATGTGTTGTATATTTACTATCAAACTAAAAAGAATTTTCACTATCTCCTCGGTCGCTTTCTTCATGTTGTGTTCATTGTGCTGATCAATAATATCTGTGATCTTTTTGCTTATTTCATCGATTTTCAAACATTCACACATCATAATCGATTATCGAGGGTTATTCATCAATCGGTAGTCCACAGTGGTAGTGAGTGACTTAAATAATAAATTTTTGCTCCACGTTTGTGTTGGACAAGATTCATAGCTGATACAGATTTATGATGAACAAGTACATCCGACACAATTTGTTTATTTTATAAGTAAACTGTATTGTATATATGTAATACTAGGCTATACTTTAAGTTGCTGTGTGAACAACGACTAAATTAGGAAAAAGACTAAGCATAGCTTCAACGTATCTATAGTTCGGATGAAAAGAAAATATCGATCAATCTAAAAAATAAGCTTTATGAATGGCAAAGGTTTCATAGCAGAGTCGCCAACAAAATGTCTTCTGAAACCAGTCTTCTAAAAAACGACTGTAATATACAGACATTTTTAATATATATTGCACTAAATATTAATGCACATTTCTATCACTTCCTATTCATAAAAAAGTTTCCTTTATATGCCAAATGATTCTCTAAAAAGTGTGTATTTATTGGACAAGAAAATAAATGATCTCGGAAAATTAGCAGAATGGATCCCGTATATAAAAAGAAGGCAGAAAAGATATCGGAAAAATAAATTTATCCGTTTCTGCATAAAAGATCTCGCAAAACACAAGAAAAAAGGCATATCAATTATTAGTCTTACTAGTCTCTTACGTTGACGTTTCATATGAGACTTGGAAGCTCGATAGTGAACATAATCCTCTGGTAAGCGAATAGATTGAGTTCAACTCTTAACATGAACAAAAAATTTCTTAATATGTCTTTTCCAGAAGGTACATCAAAGCGACTATAATGTAGCTAAAGGGGAACATACTTCAGTATCTTCCATGCGACTTAAGGAAGACAGACGGATGTGACTACAACAGGTAGTAGTAAAATGTGTCTTCGAAAGAAATGAAGTTATGTGAGTAAATGGGAACCGATTTCGGCGCTTCTAGAAGTTACATTTTTATTAGAGCATGGTTAGAATACCGAATAATTCATAGGCGATTTATGAAAATAATTAGAGCCAAATGGTTGGTGGAACCGAAATTTTTTCTCGTTGTCATACAAGAAATGGCCGATGGATGATGTATTTCTTGAACATAAACAAGATTTTTAACAAGATGTATATTGAAAATGACAAGAATTTCAAATAATCATGAATCATCAATTAATATCAGCTTCGAAACGTGTTCAAAGTTCAAAGCACAAGTGTAAAGATTTATAAAAACAGTCAATAAAAGCTTATCAGCGCCAGACCTTGGGTCTAAAGTGCAACCCATCCGTTCAGACGTGACGGATTCAGGTGAGGCTGGATGAAATCTATGGCCTGAGTATGTACGCTGATATTATTTTGTTTTAATTTGTTTAAGTGATTAAATTGACGTTCATAATCGATGAAGTCGAAGTGTACGCCTTTAGTCATTATCGACTTTAGTTTCTGTTTTAGACAGTTGCTACAGAGATTTTAAGCTTCCAAACGAGATTCTCATAACTTTCGTTATGTGTTCTGAAGTTTAAGCTTGCCTCCCAGGTGAATGTAAATGAGATGTTAATGAGCTATTAATGGCCAATTAATGATATAACACAAGAATGATCAATTAATGGTAGAAAAATGACCTAGGTATGATTTTTATTAGTCATTTTATGATCATTATTAAAAATGATATAAAAATTGGCATTAATATTAAAATTGGTATAATATAACTGTAACAACGAGATCGCAACGTGGTCAAGACACATGTTTTCACCCCCGATCGTCATTTATACAGTCTTTTTTCTTGTGTTTTGCGAGATCTTTTATGCAGAAACGGATAAATTATTTTTCCGATATCTTTTCTACCCTCTTTTTATATACGGGATCCATTCTGCTAATTTTCCGAGATCATTTATTTTCTTGTCCAACAGATACACACTATAAGGAAGAAGGTCATGCACTAGCGTAGAAAATTAAACGTGGATGAAAAGTGTAATTAGATCAATAAAACTCATGTAGTATGTCAAAAATGCGGTAAAAATCGATACATGTTTCAATTCCATACAGCACCAAGACGTTTTTCTCATACAAAGGCAGGTCGATATTTCTAACTGCATTCATTATGACCAGGTTCTTAAATGTTTGTTTCACTGTTAGATTAAATTAGAATGTTAGAAACGACTATCAGTTCCAAAATACAAGAGCAATGGTCATTGTTTGAATAACTGAGCATCAAGTAAAGATAGAGAAAAAAATCCAAGAATCGACTGAAAACCAATTCATAACTCAGACAAAATCCATCTGAAAACTAACATTGCCACAAGATCTGGCATAGTCGATAACCTATGTTTTCATTCATTTCTAACCCTAAACCGAACGGCAGAGGGCTGCTAAGGCTTCAGGAAAAATGTCCATAGCTCTCGAACCATCGGTTTTCAAGATGTCCCTCGGATCCAGTTTTGTAGAGGACACTTCGGACTATATATGCTTCCAAAAAGATAAATAGATTCCTATTTGAATTTCGGATAATTCAAGCTAGTTTTTCAACGATCCGAAAATCGGTTTTGCTTGTAGAATGATCGCCTGGAGTCTTGGCTATCGAGTAGCGAAAACCGCAAGTCTCTATCTCTTTATTTGATGCTGAGTTATTCTAAAAATGATCACTACTCTTGTATTTTGGAACCGATAGTAGCTAATGTTAGAAAGGAAAAATACACAGTTGGTTGCAATTAGTTAACCTATATAAAATATCATTCTAACAATATCTAAATCATTTGTTTCATGTAAACATTTAGCTGAAACTATAGTTTCACGATGACGACTATATATACTATTATCAACAGTTTATGTAAATGGATTTGTTATTTTAAATATTGATCATCTGAATCATTCAATATTGCTGAGCCACCACGTTCATTCCAACACAACCGACATGTACATTTAATGCATAATTTCTAATTTTAAACGTTTTATTATATATGAAGAATTTTTTAGTCTATACAATAATTGTTTATGATTTACATGACTATATTGATCAATATGAGATGAATGTGAATTTATGTGGAATGATGAAAAGGTTTAAAATAAATAAATAAACAATATATAAAACAAGAATACCGAAAGAAAAAAGATCAAAAGTCTGACAACAACAGTGTAGATAAGTTTCTTCTTCAGAAAACGAAAGCTGTCTTTTGTCAGAGTAGAAAATATTCAGTATGCTTTGTGAAATCTGAAGAATATTTAATCATGATTAAAAAGTATCAGTGATACGTAAATGTTTACGCATCATGATTAAACTATTAGGCGTAATTAATCAGTATGGTCGTGGTAGAGTTAATCCTTCGACTTTTTAACATTATAATAGTTACATTTTGACTACTGTCTGTCACTCTATTTAATAAAGTTATTGTTATCTAAAAAAGGTTTTCTTCTTTTCTCCTATTTTTATCACTTATTCTATGTTCTCTACAGCATTCTAACTCTGACGTGTGTCTAGTTTTATCAATCATAGGTTTTAACCAGTAATTGAAAATGTTAGTGTTATACTCGGAATGCACTGTTTAACTAAAGGATGAACATTACGCCCGTGTGGCTCAGTGGCTAGAGCACTGGTCTAGTAAACCAGGGGTCGAGAGTTCAATTCTCTCCTCGGGCATAATTCTTTTTCTCTTTCTTTTCTTTATGCATTCTTCAAACAGAAAAGAATAAAATAAAAAGATACAGAATAGAAGAAATAATGTGCATATAAAGTTTCTAATATATTTTATAAAAGTGTACTAACACTTCATTTTGGTTAACGTTGATAATATAGGGGCAACAAAATTCGCTAAAATAAAGATGAATATAGAAGCCACTAATTAATATTTAACATATTATTTTTCACGACTTAGCTTCTCAGGCTAAAAGTTTTTCAAATTAAAGTTAGTTTTTTCGATGTTAATCATGAATCTGATATATACTTGGAAGTTCTTAGTAGATTTTTAAAGATCTGGTCTCCAGAGACCCATGATGAATCTGCGGATCAATGGACTCTGATCTAGCCAGTTTGTAACGCTCATCGAGTTACGTCTGCGATTTTTAGCACTACCGAGTGAGACAGTAAACCTCAAGATCGATTGACTTTATTCTAGAATATAAGATATGCTTGTTCTATTCATCACGTTATACATGTAAATAAATGATTGATTGCATGATGTAACATCAAATAGAAGAAAAAAAAGGGCATTTTATGAAACTTTTTTGTTATCAAGTTAGGATAGCTCCTGTTTTTCTCACCAACTTGTTAAAAAATTCTTGAATATAAATATACTAGTAGTTCTAATTTAATATTTGCCATGAAACTTTATTTGTATTAACTAATCCATCATCATTTTCTCCTGTTATCGCTTTTATAATTTCTCGTACATTTTGCTCCGTTGCAAAGTCAATGACATTGTCATAATCACATTTAGGTGCACCATCACATTTCTTACCAGCACATGGCTGACATGTATCAGCTATCGTAAAAACTTTGTTGTATTTCCCCCCGTTTACTGTTAATCGTATTTGTTTTCCACACCATGGTATACTATTTGGTTCAGCATCTTTATACTTGTTTATCCAATCTGAATCAGAGACACCAAACAATCGGGGATTAACAGCCACTACTTTTGAACGATCATAGTGATTACCACATTGTAACGTTTGATCATCTTCAAAATTTGTAAGTGTCACTTTATCGCCAGCATTACTTCTAGTTTTTGGTAGATGATCGATGGTAGCACGTAACCGAAACTTATTTTTATTACTCGAATAGTAAGTGAGTGCATGCATGGAACCAATAAAATAAAGCAGCAGAAAAGTCTTGCATTGAGCAAGAGTTGCCATATCTTTGAAAAGAGATGTCAAAATATGGAGAACTACATGGTAAGAAAAAAAGCGTCCACTAGAAAACGTCCACGAGAAAGCATAGTAAAAATAGCGTGGACAAGAAGCGTGGACAAGATAAGTGATAAGCATCGTATTTACAGCTTGATTCACTTATTTTCAACAGTTTTTGTCCGTTGACTGTATTTCTACCAAACATAAGACGTGTATTATTCTTATGTGGCTGGATAGAGCATTCATTTCTCTATTGAACTGTATATTTTGTATCTGATTTATTTCTCAGCTTGGCCGAATTAGTGAAATAGAATAGAATAGAATTTAGTGAAATTCTAAAAGCCTTCAGAAAACCCTTTTTCATGGTAACATTTAGCTGCAAGGGGAATATTTAACTGAAACTAAATCCAATTGGCACGGAAATGGATCTTTCAGATTGAAGAGATCTATCAAAGCCGTGTTTGTACAAAGCATTGAATGAATCTGTGGTATATTCGAGGAGAAGGTTTAATTTACATTTTAATTCACCTGGCACTTTTCGTTACAGAAATGAAAAAGCAGGTTTTAGGGCTATTCGTATAATGTAGAATTTATGTAAAAGCTCTCAGCTACACCAGACTCAAATTAAATAATTCAATAGAGAAATGAACGCTAAATCTATCCATATAAAAACGAAAAAGATTTATAAGTCTAGTGGATTATAATCACCTGAGAAAAATACGGAATAGCCTATGGCAAAATGTTTTTTGAAAACTTTTAGAATTTCACTAAATTCTCGACCAAGCTGAGAAATAAATCAGATACAAAATATACAGTTCAATAGAGAAATGAATGTTCTATCCAGCCATGTAAGAATAAAAAGCGTCTTATGTTCAGCAGAAATACACTATTAGTGCATCTTTTAAATACTATTACTGTTAAATTAAAGACTATTACGGATACAACTCTTTAATGTCAACTTACCTGGTGAATATCAGGTAGAAACAATCTTGGTGTCTTATTGAATAATAAAGTACGATTCTATTTCTTACACCACAGGCACAAAATATACTAATGTTATATCATATTTTTAATGATAAGCCACTTACACTGTATAAAGAATACTGTATATAAAAACTTCCTCATTTGGTATGAACTTTATGCAAATAATTTTGAAAAATAAACTCCTGAAAAATAAAGTTCTTGACATTTCGCGTAGTTGTCTTATTCATTTCGCCTGTGTGTGACTTATCCTTTAAAAATCACTTATGTTGATGATGTTACTTGTTCGAGTCGCCGGCATTAATAAAAAAAGTTTTCTCGCCGCATTTATTCATCCTAATGTCAAAAAACAACATTCTCAGTCGATGGTTTTTGGAAGAACATGTGTTCGGGCCTGTCTTTGGCTCATATCAATTGTAAAAATGGGTTACCAGATTCAATCTGAATTCATATGAACCATAGACAAGCACAAAACTTAAACTTTCTATCATTTTGACATCTTTCTAGTGTTTTTGACAAACAAAAAGGCAACTTTTTGCTGCTAAAATACATTTTTCTATCGTGCATTTTTTAAAAAACTAAAACTATTTATTCGATTTTTTTTTTGTTCAGATGATCTACACAAGCGCCGACTTCCAATTTTCACAGAACATTCGATTCATCCATTACTCATGACTAAACCATTCTTTAAACCAAAAGGCATTCTTGTGTACTTTTTTAAACCTGCATGTGTTCTAAAAGCTGTTTTCTCTCCGATCAGATATTGAGTGTATTTGATAAAATCTTTTATTCGGATTGAATGTACTAAATCACACTTCTTTTCGATAAAATGTGTAAGAATATCTTCAATCCGAGAAATCGAATATTGGCTCGATTTTGTTATCAAATTCAATTTTCTGTAATCAATGTGCATTTGAGTACTACCATTTTTTTGTGACGAAGGCTGCTGGTGAAGATCAAGGGGAAGTGAAATCTTCTAAGATACCTTGGACTTCTAACCATATTATTTCGTTCCTCATTAATACATCCTCTTCGTGTGACGCATGACATAGTCTCTGTAAAGCTGTGTGTCCAGTCTCAATTTTCATTTTATATAGATCAGTAAATAAATGATTGATTGCATGATGTAACATCAAATAAAAGGAAAAAAAGGGCATTTTATGAAACTTTTTTGTTATCAAGTTAGGATAGCTCCTGTTTTTCTCACCAACTTGTTAAAAATTCTTGAATATAAATATACTAGTAGTTCTAATTTAATATTTGCCATGAAACTTTATTTGTATTAACTAATCCATCATCATTTTCTCCTGTTATCGCTTTTATAATTTCTCGTACATTTTGTTCCATTGCAAAGTCAATGACATTGTCATAATCACATTTAGGTGCACCACCACATTTCTTACCAGCACATGGCTGACATGTATCAGCTATCGTAAAAACCCTTACAAGAAAAAAATAACATTGAATTAATCTTGGTAGCTTTCAGTTGTATTTCTACTGCAACTGTCCCTTCGTCGCAGTCATTAGTTCAGTCTTACTAAAACATATGAAAATCAATTACCTTGAACGAATTGCAGTTTGCGCCTACTTTGGTATAGATCACTAATGATGTCTTAACCTTATGAATTAATTCTAGTATCTCTGAAGTTCTGGAGTTCTAACTCTAAGCATTAAATAAACAAAAACTCAAGGAAATGTTTTGTTTAATCTGACGTGAGAAAGATATCATTATTTTCTATTTTACCGCGCGCGAAGTGATAGTCTCTTATTTTTAAACATTCAATAAGGATTATTCAACAAATACTGAAGGTGGTTATTGGCGAATATCGCTGAGACATTCCCCAATCGACAATATGGCGAATATCTAGTGGCGAAAGTTGAATTGGCGAAACGGGGCTTTACCCTTTTCTTTCATCTTTTATTGAATTGATTATCATTACAAAGAAAACATGAAGATTCAAATGTTATATTCGACGTGACCATTGAGAGACGTTTTGCCACCACATATTTCGCTTACTGAGTGGACCTTTTCATCAGGTGGCAAAACGTCTCTTAACTAGTCATATATATCATCATCCTATATATGACTGCTTAAGAGACGTTTTGCCGCCACATCAACCGTAGTCTGTCAAGTGAAAAGTCTATCAAGTGAAACTTTTTGACCCAAAGTTTTTATATTTTTGGATTCTATGATCAAAAGTGGGGTTATGAAAAAATTTTCAGGTTCTTTGGACTTGATTTCACCGAGTTATAGAATTTATAAAATTAATTGTGTCGAAGATTTTCAAAAAAGTGACTTCCGTGATATTTTGTCTAGAACTTTGTCAAATTTTATTCGTTCTATGAAAACTGGAAAATATTGGAGTAAGATCAATGATAGTTCATGTCACTTCAAACTATTATTATCACACAAAAAACCAAAATAAGTATTGCACATCCGTATGGATAAATGATCAGAAAATGGTTTGCATGATGATCTAACTGTATGGAGGTCCTGATTGTAGAACCTCTTGTTTTGGTCAAGTAACGTAACAAAAAATTGAATTGAGAAACAAGTCAAGAAAAATGTCTAATCGTTTCTTCTGGTGCCTTCCTTTCAGCCAAAGGAATAATGTATCACGTACTATGTGCAATACTTATTTTGGTTTTTTGTGTGATAATAATAGTTTGGAGTGAGATGAACTATTAATCAACGCTATGATAAATCAATTTTAGTGTTCCTGTTCTTATCAGCGGTAGCAATGGGTAAAGGCCCGTTGGAACAAACTTATCTCTTCTGTTACGCCATCAAAAGAGAAATACCCATGATGTGAAAGCTTTCTATTCTCATCTGTCACTTTGAAGATAATAATATATATTAGACAAATGCAACACAAAAGGAATTCCTTGCAATTATGGCTGTTTTTCGATATCATTTGACTTTACTTCTATATTTCTTTACACTAGAACATTATTTAGTACTGATCATAGCACAAAAGCGAGCTGGCTTCACGAATGAATTCGATATAAAACAAGTTGATTCTAATCGATGGTCAAGCGACCGTGAATATTTGGTTTACGATAAGCTGAAGAACATAGTTTATCGAATAACCGGAAAAGCACACGAATCAAGCTCAATGCTAAGAAAGTCTGATGATGAAACAATAGGTCAAACAGACAAACATTCAATTAAAATACTTGAGGATTCTAAAAATGGAACAAAATGGAATCAAATTGAAATACAAACAAAAATTAAGTGGCCACTTTTAGTGCATAAATATCGAATGAATTATAACAATAAATCAATTACTTATGAACCTTATGGTATTTTTAAGGGAGATGGAAATTTTAAAGACGAATTAACAGGAAAACGCTATGGAAAAATGTCAAGCTCATTATTCGTTCACCGTTGGAGATTAAAAATGACAAATGATGTCCGAGAAGAATTTCTTTTACTTATCGCAATTTATACCATCATCCAAATAGAATAACACAAACAAACTATTACTCAATTATAAACTAATCCTCCTTCACTTCATGATTCA